TGATAAGATTTGTCTATGCCATACTAAAACGGTCACGGCAATTTGTTCACCGATTGACAGGTATCGAAAATAAAGATCGGCCTATTTGTGCAACACATGTAAGTGTATTCGCATGGAACCACAAAATTCTCAGTAGATGCTTAGCGCACAACGTGTCACTCATCAAGGCAGTATCCAATTTGAACCTTGTAGTAGTACTGAGTGCACTTAGTAATTATATCCTCACCCCCTAGTGGTATCGGATGGAAAACGCATTCTAGTTATCCAAACTTGATTGAATTAAAACACTGAACTATTTTCTAACACGGCTGCAAAAACAGCGCGCATTTATGTGATTCGCATGGCGAAATGCATTGCATGTTTCAACATAATAGCTAAAGCACTGAAATGACAGGTTATTTTGGATAAACCATGTGTACAGTATAATGTTAGGAAACCAACATGGACCCCTATGGATCACAAGGCAATAAGCACTACGGCCTTGCGCATAGAAGATCATCGAGGCAAAGATTACTCTAGTCCATTACTGCACAATACGAATTCCAATTATGTCTACTGCAAAATACTACTTGCGTTGGGGGCGCAAATGTTTGTTTTTACAGGTATGTCGATGTTCCTGTCACTAATATGACTTAAGTTCCCTGCTCAAAATTTAACTCAAACATAACCCCATCAAATGTATGACACCCAATTTTGGCTCAGGCCCAATTGTTTCACCTCATAAAATGTTTTGTGTCCTACGCACTGCATGCACTTATACACTGACAATATGCCCGGCCTGAAATAACCGGTAATAAACCGTCATAACATTATGTTTCTTCGTATCCATGAATCCATCTTTCGACACATAATCACCAAGGTAACCTAATAGTTGATTAGAATTTTGATCTCTTTGTATTATATCGCGACCGATTGCCAATCTCTTTCAATTTGTGCTGTGATTGTTTGTACTTCAATTTACTGCCACCTCGGTATACTTTAACCCGTAGGTAGTGTTTGTTGTAGAATCCACAATGTAGTATGTCCTTTGGTATGAATATTATCGTGATTCGTCTCTAAATTATTGTCCTTACCATTTTAAACGAGCATCGCAACTTACATCTATCTTTTACTCCCGGACTGACCAGGAAGCGTTCACCGTGCTAAACCAAAAAACAGTGTTTCTACACGGAAGGTTCATTCTCCATACAGTAGACTCCCGATGTGCTACCGTGATAGATTATGCTGCACTGCGACCACAAGCCTGCAGCTCATACATAACAAAGTGCTACTGTGCAACATATTCGTGAACTTACAAACAACATACGATTGGTAGGGTGCTTTCATTGGAACTGACTAACTGACTTACAAAATGAAATTTCGCTTGACTCACCCACTTCAGTTCACAGGTACATGTATATTTACTTAAATAGTCAGCAAATCTGCGCCCAGCTTGTGTGATTTCCTTGTATCAACAACCTGACGCTGTTATCGCAAAGTCAAGATTTATACAATTTTCTTATTTCTTATTTCGGTGCTACGAGAAATTGTCTTTAATTCAGAATAGTGAACTGTTGTACTTCGTTACAATAGTGCCTATTGCCACCCACTGACAGATGATTTAGAGAATCAAAAGTTATGTAGCTCAGTAATCCTAGTTAATAGGTCTTGATAGGCCGATATGCTTTTGGAATTTTGCACCGCATTGAAGCACGGGGCAACGGTGTTGAAGTGATTGTACGAACGATAAAATGGTTTTAAAATTATCTTACTAAAGTACTGCCAATATTCAGTAAGTAATTTATGGGTGCATTTCAGGCAACTAAGCTTAGTGTGTTCCTGTTCACCGAAAAATCTGATAATTTAATGAATGCAGGCGCACATTTGGCGTCCTTTTATTTCCTGTTGGTTGCCGTTGCTATTTCACTTTACAAAATATCTAAATTTGTATCCGCCATTGCTCTTTATGTGACTGTCTTTCACGCTTTAATTATTCACACGGATCACCGCATGAAGTTACTTGGTTTTAGTAATATCACTTTCATAAGAGTCGTTTAACCTATTTACAAGCAAGGAATAATGTTTTTATTATTCTCATACTAGGATTGCCATCGAACAGTACAGCTTATTCTGTCAGACACATATTAATGTAGGACAGCCAGTGTGTCGGCCTAAAGAATCATCCTACATTCGGAATACGCAGTTTTAACACTAAATATCCAGTTTGCGGCTCAGTAAAAATGCATGTGCTTTATGATTGGTTTGCTGCTGAATCTGCAAGGATATGCTTAGCTATTTCGATGGATTCTTCATAGTCAACCATTTGATTTTTCTAAGAGGGTAGCTGGTATATTTCATGCTTGAATATAACAAGCTTTCAACTATGTTCGCAGTATGGTTTCTATGTTTAGAATGTTTTTGTGATGCTCAAGCCAGATCGATTTCTCATTTTACTTTGGGGGGACAATTTTCCGAAGTCATACAACCAACCACAGAAGAGGCATCATCATATACCATCACAAATGATAACGATGCGAACCAATGGATGACCCGACAACACTAGGCACCGATTCGTTATGGTGTCATTTACGTTGCAGTCGTTTATCAACCGCTGTGGTTTATACCAGAGATGAATTGCTGCAAGATGTCGTTATTGAGATAAATCTTCTTCTCAGTTGCAGCCACAAACCAATCTCGGGTGAATGCAAGTTGTTACACCAATGGGCATGGGCAACCTGAATGCTACTGGTTTAATCGCCTCACTACAATACTTTATGGTAAATATTTCACTCTGCAATCACGTGATCACACCTACGATATACAGTGCTGACAACAAACATTCCGTACTAGAGCTCGTGCTAATTAATGAATATTTTGTGTTCGATAGTCCATTTATAGACGAACCACTAGGGCTAAGTGAACATGCGGCCAAACTTCATGCCAATGTGGTACGCTGAATATACGAAACAACACGCAGAGACAACACGTAACATCACACACTAAAATATCTTAAACATTTGCTTTCTAAGGCCGATGGTGATTTCGAGAAGAGAGCTCTACTGCCAGCACCTTGATAAAGTTTATGAAATGTTACAGTAATCTGACCGAAACCGCTTCAAAAACATGCTAGTTTTCTTTGACCAATCTATCGTCTTTAATTATAAATAGAACTCAGGATTATTTGGCACTAAGCAGTATGACTTATATCAGTTGCACAGCCAGTCCTGTTCCATAAATATGCGTAGATACGATGACGTTCACCTCTTGGCGCTGAACATAGCACCACCAAGCAGTCCGAGCGAATTTCGCATCACGTTCAAAGGTGCGTTCATGAGTAACTCTCTGCCTAATAGGTGGAAACGCACTAATCAAGTCAGTTTTCAAATATCACACTCGCAAGTATCAGGCAAAGTATCACTTAAGCATGTTACGTAATGTGCTCTGGAAGGTACTTAACGCATTCGTCGCTGTGGATTTATTCGATTATCAATATAGCTGTAACAGCATGGCACACACCACACCGTTCATGCAAACCAAACAAGGGATTGCACCCTGCACTTGGACGAAAGCGGTAAACAATGGGAAAGGCATTGGCTTTCTTTAATTCGAATTCTCCATGTTTTCTAGTGCATAGTTCAGCGTTTACTGCTTCATAGACTACAAAGATATGGAGATGGGTATCTCGTCCTATGTTTGAATGAGTTGACGCACTTAATTACATTGGCTTTTTGTTGGTCACTGTCGATTTTAACATGCAGCAGTTGACCGCTGACAAAGGAATTCCGGATGCCTTTCCGTGAGACATGGACACTGTATATTGACGTTCACTTCAAAATCGGCCCTTAGCTATGTTATCTAAATGTAGGTTGATCACCATTCATTACCAACGGAACATCATGTACGAGTTTGGAGAGCAAGTCCAGCCATCATTTACTCAAGTGAGCCATCTTGTTGTAATACCTCCGGCTGATCTGCGCTGCCCAGAACTATCTCAGAGGGTGTCAAAGACTAGAAACAAACACGTTGACATGAATCGCATGGTTTTCGGTGGATTGCTCCTGCTGTCTTTTCGCAGTTGCTTATTCCTTACTAGCCGTCTCACGAAAAAATATCATTTGGGACTGACAGCCTTGCCATATCAAGATCACTCTGCATTCGAGTATAAACAGGAAATAGCCCCGAAACAGGTCAAACGGTTATTCCGACTTTCATAGTGGTATAGGCTAACGTCTCTAAGGTAGTACAGCGGTCGACATCGCCGTCTACTTGATGAACTACTAATGGCCTAAAACATTTTGACTAATGCCAACCATGTCTGCCGCCTCCCACCACAACTCAGCCTAAACAAGAAAGGGATGATGCACTAGGTTATATTCGCCACACAATACAGGACGCTTGAATGTCATCGAAACGCTTAATTGCTTCGTACATCAGATATGGAAATCACTACTAAATTAAGTTGATTCCACACCCATTAACTTGTAGTTTAAACTGTCGTGATATATGCAATCTAGCCGTTATGCTTTGCAATCTGCGTGTGTGTCTGCAATGCAAAATTGACCCCTACTCATGTACTCAGAGGGGGAAATATGCCTGCAGGTTGCCCCCATCCCATAGTTGGACGTATCAGCTGCGATGAAAATGGACAAGTATGTATCCCAATTTGAAAACAGGTAAATGAAGTTGATCAATGCCACTATGAAACTGTGAATTGTACTCCTTTTGCATACAGTTCGGGAGACAAATTCGTGGAATGCGGACATTGCGTAATAAGTGAATGAACCTAATATATCAATTGATCGAAGAAATGTTTGATTGTGGCGCAAAAGCACAATTTTATGAAAGCGTGTATTTGATTGTCCGCACAAGTTCGGGACGCGTTGTGCTTTCAGCTATTGAATATGCAACAGATGTATTTCATTCTTTTGATCTTAGGTAATAAACTATGCTTGTGGAGGAAGCATGTTGCGTATGTAAATGCTGTCGCATAGTCCAAGTTTCGTTATATGAAAAACTGAATATAGAGCCATTAATTTTATGTATTGTGAAACAAAATGTTACTGAATTGTAAGGTAATTTGTCAGTTGACGTGAATCATAGATAAGCAAGTTGCTAGATGCCAACCACGTCACTCTGAAACCAAAATTGGTGTGTCCACCGGGCATTTGGATACACAATTATGCTTTAAATTCTTATCAACGACATTATACCGCCCCCCAGTTCGAGAAGCCGCTCTGTCGCATTCTCTTTCACAAGCTTCCCGAGGTGTTTGCTGAGAGTTGTTGCAACTGCTCACCATTGAACATAACGTCATCTTTAAAAAAAGACATAGGAAATATGAGAAAATAAAACGCAGTGGAATAATGCGGCAAACATAAAAGGTTTGTTGCAATTAACTTGCAACTTCTGAATAACGCTTGTGTTGGTACACATTGCTTAACAGGTTAAATCGCATCAAAATTTCCCACTGGTCAACTAATTCAAAACTGAAGTAATTATACTACATTTGCTCGTTCCTGAACAAACATAAGTTATTGAATAAACCGGATAAACCGCATTGATAGCATTTGCGACCGGTTTAAATAACAATTTGTCTCTAACCAAAAGTGATATTTTGACGTCTACAAAACTGCCAACTGCCATGCCCCATGATTACAGGCCATGCATACACATGATAGATTTTGCCCAACGCGCAATTGAATACTATACTTACCAACAATATAAGCGAATAGCCTCGGTACATATTTAGGAAGCTTTTGTCTGTTGTGCATTCGGTGGATTAGTCCCAATATATATGCATCCGACAAACCTTTCAGGCACAGGAACGCTATTGGTCCATATGACTGAGTATATTTGCGTGTTGTGCAATTAAGCTGTATACTATAACACACAACATACACCAATGGCGATGTGATGGCTTTTTCAGCTAATAACTTGACCAATCTTTTACAAGGACTAGCAAAGTGCAACCGCTTTCCACATATCCGGATGTAGCACTAACTTCGCTCAATTGAAATACAGGTTAAATTTGAGTGTAAATTATACATTAACGTAAACGTTCTACAGTTTACGTTTTCTCAATGGACTAAGCAGTCGAGAGTTGAATGCAACTGTGCCATGTGATTGGTTAATGTATTTATTTACTGAGTGAGAGCCAATAATTTTCTCCCCCACATGGTAGGCTGGAACTATACTGCTCCTTGTGTTTAGCACATTGGTGAGGCGTCACACATTTCCATGCGAAGCATACATAGAGGATAAATAGGCATCTTCTCCTCTCCAACTGTATCATTACCTTAGGATAATAGATGATATTGTGTCAACTTATTCAAGGCAAGCAGTTAATGTCAGTTAAATTATTAGCTTGTAAGTCAGCACTTACCGCGGTCTATTGACGTAAAATGTTGGCTAGTTGCAAAGCGACGTATGTTGAGTTATCGCGCTAGTTCATGAGCAAGCCGGTTCAGGCACACAGAAATGACCAAATGTGGCATTATTTTAAGACGAACGTAAACAATAAGTTCCATTATAAGCGCTGCTACTTGTAAATCTGATATCAGGTGTTTTACGTAACTACCAAACAACACCCGTATACCGCTCATATCTGCTAGGAAACACGTGGCGTAACAATGCTTTTGGCGATGAGAGACTGCTTATATCTACGTTGTAAGTACTAAGGGTCACCTACTGAGTGCACCATTATAACCTAAAATTTCTGAGTGAATAACGATATAAAATGATGCAAAATTTGTTTGCACGTTCCGCTCGATCTGGCTAAACGCTTTTTGTTATAATTCAATATATGCGATGCGAAATAAAAGTGAATTAGAATAGAATACAATTGCTCGCGTATGCCTAGTTTACCACTAGATTCAATTGGATCTACTTTGTTAATTCCTCTCATAGTGCTGTCAAAAATGAAGCATTTATTCGCACATATATTTAGCTGCGCAATGACGTTACGAATTTTGGTGTCGACAACAAAATCCAGCGTGGATAATTTGAAAATCTCAGCTGTTTATCAATGCAACAGCTGCTAGTAATGACTTACTTTTCCAGTTAAGTTTATATAAGTTCTAACTTTGTGATGCGGTTTGGCGAATTTGACTTCTAAGCATTTAGTACAGGCAAGCAGACATCAACCTTTGGAGACAGATCATATTAGGTCACCACAGGGAGGGTTGCTTTTAACAAATCTTATCTAAACTATCTCAACATTTCCGCCTACAAAACTAGTTACAGCCGTCTGATCTCAATTCTACATTGTCCCGTGTCTAGTTTTATGTATTAAACTTACATCGGAATTAAGATCCGCCCCACAATCTGATGCCCGTTTAGTGCTGAACGAAGTCCGATCCAGTGTTGCGCTTTGCATGTTTGATCGTTCCCGAATTTCAATTATAAAAGCTGGATGTAAACCCTTGATTATCAAACAGAAGAATTAATCCAAACAAAAACGCCGTAAGAGAACCAAGCGCCGGATAAGATGATATTTTAATTGACCCATGCTTCTTAAATAGAAATAAGCGGAGAGCAACAGGCGAAAACTGACGATGGCACATGCCGTGAAATTTACAGGCATGACATAACATTATCCGGGGAATATAGAGAAGGAAAGAAAAACACATGACTGCAGCAGAGCAAACGAAAGTACTACTTTTCGTATTTGAAGTACTAACTGTTTTATTATTATTATTAGTTCGTATTTCCACAAAGATTTAATGGAACATGTCAAGTAACTCAACCATACCCATATAAATCCCTTGTGCATTGTTTGCGTGTTTCGCGATTTTTCTAACTAGATTTGATTAAGAAACCGTAAGGGTATAATCCAATGTATCAGAGGAGTACCGCGTTTGAATAACGGCGACAGCTTGTGGGTATTGGATATGGACACGCACGTTGAGTAAGTACAATTTGTTGTTAATGAACCTGGCACACAATAGAAGTACGAGAAACGGACTATAGGGTGATTGTACATTGGGGTGCGCTTTGTTATTTTAAGTGCACTTGTTGTCAAGTACTATGGACGCAGAAGACAAGAGTGGGATTAAGGTGGCCAAATTTTATTTAGCAAAATTGCAGGTATTGAAAATTTATCATTTGTTAATGCTGACGTCGCTGTGGGCAAAAAATGGTTAAAAGAGCCAGCCTAAGTTGAATTTGGCGTGACAGTTGGCTAGCGTAACCACCTTCAGCAATTGCAAGAATAGTGGGAACAAGTACGTGGCTTCTGCAGGGTTTGAAGTTATGAGGAATGTTCGCTGCTTCATTCGCTCCTATACCATAAAAGCCTCAAAGGTTGGGAGCGTGTGCACACATATCAGACGGGAAAGGAGGTGCCCTGTCCTCGTAACATAGTCCATTGTCATCTACACTGTGCCAGTTGTTTAAATATTTGAATGAATTATAACGGCGGGGTATCCAAGACAATTTGGTACCATTTATGTCGGATCTGGGTGTCGCTTTATTTGCTGTTTCTGAAATGTACATCACAAAACACAATGGAATAATCTCGGTTGGCCAACCAGATTTGGTAGATGGGATCTGGTAGTTTTTTACTAAGCAAAAAGGCAGAATTGTTAAAAACAGTGGAGCTCGGTTATAGCATTAATCTTGCGTAATTGTATAATTTGCGTGGCTCCGGAATTGGTAATTTTGACTAAGAAATCTTTGGCTAGGATTAGCGCAGCTGAACTTAATTTCTTAGCAATCGGATACACGCATTTCAACTTAAACTCACCTATTCAGTTAAAGTCAAAGGCGGAATTTCACTGACCGTTTTGAAACATAAATTAGAGTTTTCCTCAACGAAATGCCACTTTGCGATAATCTGTTGAATGGAAGCGACTTTCAGACACGTAGATAACATAGCTAAACCAATATCTGCACTGCATGAATACGGCTAAATTGCCTAAAAGATATTTGCTAATTGCGGAACTAAGTTCTTGTACCAATTCACACGTAAAAAGAGTCATGTAACGTATTTAGCTTCAATGTTGCACATCCTGCCGGAGCAATCTCGAAGCTTATATTTGCCGTCCGTTTTGCAATGAAACTTTAGGAGGGTATTTTTCTTCGATGAACATGAATAATAGTTTGAATCGGTCAGTCACCCTACATGATTCACCCACCTACTCTTCATATGTATTCATTAATTCCTATTCATTTATCTATTTTAACAATGTTGGCTAACTCATTCAACATGCATTTCTGTGGGAAAATAGTTGCATGTTGCGAAGAGACGTCAGAAAATGTTACTTGTCAGAAGCGTAGGAGAAGCAGCACGGCGGCGTGGAAGCTATTGAAGCGAACATTTCTTATTCATCTAAACTGGTTTACATAATTAAAGACATGATATCCATATTCGCAAACAAGTTTACTTTTATTTCCACAGAGATGTAGGAATGCTTGGTTCAAGCGCTCGCATGATAACGCACTTTACATTTCCACTGTGTAATATTGACACTACAAGGTCAAATATTTCATTCTTGACTAATAGCAGATTAGCTTTCCCATTTCGAGAAACCATGACATTCTTCCATATTCAACCCTTTTCTGTTGTCTTTAACATCCTATTCGTAATTGACTGCTATTATGAATTTGAGTTAGCGTATCACGGTAACAGGTAGTTACGTTTATTCTTATCCGTCTAGACCTGTGTAAAAATAGCTTCCTTAGCCTACAGGTTCCTTGTCCCGTTCAGTGTTATTTCATTGTATATACTTCGTATATACGCCACAGATAGTTAGGTACCTGTCGTATGCTAACGCCAGGTTTAGGCAAGCATTGCTGGGTAGTGAAAAAAGCACCACGGTCGACTTTACTTTCTGTAGCAAAGATAAACGTCATCTGTAGGATTCTCAACAAAATTGACCCTATTCTTCAGAAGTATCTGGTCGAATTCGAGCAGAGAACAATATGAAGCTGAGCCTAATCCACTTGCTTCAGTCAACCCAGGCGCTCTATAGAATGTTTTTGCGCCATACACTACAGTGTGCTTCTAGTACAAATTGTGATAGTCGTGTTTCGTCAGCAACAAGCTGACAGAACCCATAGCATATACAACTGAATGATATAATCTAATAAATTATCTACTGCAACAACATGCCCGTGATGAAAACATGCAAAAGTCACGTAACTTGCATCAATCGTGTTAGATTTGTCAACTCATATGGCGAAACCCGTCAGAAGAACAAAATTATCAATGCATTTTCGTTGGAAACACTTGCTCGCAAATCGCACATGCATAAAGTCATTGTACGAAATTTATATTTACAATAAACTCAATGAATTGTACGTGCCCTTATGCTAGCTGATACGGGTGACTGCCAATCATCCATGGAATTTTGAAACAGCTGATTACTCATCTGAAGACGGTTTCCTTAACCAAATCATGATGCTAGCTGTGGATTTATTACGCCACATAGTCTACATTTTATAAGATTAGTGAAAACCCTTCCTTACCATGGTATGTAATCGATTAGCATTGTTGAATGCCAACTAATGTCATACAACACAAGGGTTACAATAGGTCTGGGACGGATATAACGAACAGGAGCCGACGTAAGCGCAGCAACCCACCGAGCAGATAGACGCAAGGGAATATGTGCGATGGGGCATTATCATCATTATTACACATATAATTTTACACATCAATAAACACAATTTCGCTAACTGTGCTGTAATGCAAATGAAATGATGGACCATGTCGAGCTACAAAACATTATAGAATAAAAATTACCAGAGCCCGTAATAAAATGTCAAGTGAAATACTATTCATCTAGTGGGAGATCCTTTTTGGTGGGC